TCTGATCTGACCAAATTTCATCAACTTATATGGAATGGATGTTAATACTATATCAAATAGGAGTAAGTTAGGAGCTCTGCTGTGAATAGGGCTGGATTTAAGTATTTTGGATCAATAAGACACAGCACAGAGCAATTTCATTGGCCCCCAAAGCCTTTTATGACTGTAAAACATCTGCAGCTGGGCTGTGAACAGTTCATGGACTGTGGCTGAGCAGGTTTTTGTACTGTAGGCACTCCCAGTTCTCCTCTCTCAAATGCTTCATTTTTAGTGTTTATTTTTGTTTGTATCCTTTGAAATGGCTTCTTTCCCCTCATTAAAATCTCTCATATGCATAGCCTTAAGAAATGTATTCACTCTCTTGTATGCACTATATTTTCCTAAAGAAATTCTGCTGAAAACCCCTACCCAGTATTATTAGATTGCAAAATTACTTCCTGCTTCTTTGCTAAGCCAGGTCATACCATTGTTTGCATTCCAGTGAGCTTATGCCAGGCCCATAACACCACAAACCCTTGCACCTCCGCTCCCTTGCAAATCCAAATACACCCTTACGGATCGCCTAAAGACCCTCTATCAAAACTACTGCCTTGAGGAGCTAGTCCCCTGTTCAAGTAAAAGGTATGCTGGGAAGAATTTAAACACTGACTCTGGAGATTTTATATCCTGGGATGTTTCACTTCCCCCATTACTGACTCCCCTCACATATTCCTTAAACTAGCGGCTGCTCAATCCACATTTTTGTATGAGGAGAATCCTAAGTAAATCTGCAGAGATTTGCAAAGCAGAACATCATGTGGGTTTTTGCTTTACACACACTTTCGACATGAGAAAATGGTGGGGGGCAGAGGTCAAGGGGAAAGAGAATGAATAGATTTCCTCTGACAATCCTGGTATCCTTACAATTATCTCCACTACAGAATTCACAACATTTTTAGATATGCCAACTGGGGCCATTTGCTCTCTAAAATATAGTAGAGTAAAGCAGAGGCTCTGAATATGTTCAAGAACACATACACCTGCAAAATGGCAACTGCATTTCTGATGCGGAAGAGAACAGTCAGCTTGAACTTTTGCATACATGTTTTCTTGGTTTTTTGCCCGAGGTTCAAATCCAACTGAATTAAAAATGAAGTAGAGCATTTTCCAGGTAAACTGGCCTGAAATGTACTGCTGTTAAACTGTCACTTACGGTAGCACTGCTTTCCATCAGCCCCCAGCTCAAAGCCGGGATTACAAACACAGGTGAAAGATCCTAGAGTGTTCACACAACGATGAGCACACCTGGCTGTCCCTTCGATGCACTCATCAATGTCTGCAAAGCAAAGAGATGAGCAGTGAGAGCAAGGCAGGTATTTTTCAATTCTAATATCACCTCTAACAGGAGCATTTGAAACATCTGCTGAAACAGTATCTTATTTTCCAGAGGTGCAGTAGCACTTTAACAATTCCCCAAATGCCAAACTACAACACTGTCCTTCAAAATACTATTTTATATTTACAATGATGCATTTCAACTGAGGCTCTTGAAGTGATTTATAAACATTTATATTTACATCGCCCCCATAAAGTAGGGATGCTTTATTATTCTTTTAACACAGGTTGACAGCACTACTCGGAAAAGAAACCTGTACAAGTCCATCTTCCAGTGTGAAATCACTTTATCACACTCTATTATGTTTAAGAGAATGGAACAGGAGTGACCTAGTTTTCTGGACAATACTAAAAGGGGCTGGATTATTTTCTGAGCTCTCTCCCAAACAGCATGTTGGCAGAAAATGGTGTTCTGGAGACCTGCCCCTTATCTTTGCTATACCACTACTCTATGACATTTGTTGTACCACTTCCCCATCTCGCTGTCTTGAATCCTGCAGAGCTTCCCACTACATAGAAGCTGGGGAAAACACTGCGCTGAACAAAAGAAGGGCACTCCACCCCTGCGGGGGGAAAGAGACCTCTATCTACAGATCAGTGCAGGACATTGGCCCATCAGCATCATAATGAACAATCTGGCCTTGTAAATTATTTGACAGCATGGGAGCTGCGAAACCCAAAGGAAGAGAATCCCGAATGCAGAACAACACACTAAACCTCATGCTACAAAAGCCAATGGCTGACCTTGCTGTGTATAATGGAGCAAGAACTTCAACCTCCATGCTACGACTGACATTTATTCATGGCAGAAAATACCTAAGAAACTAAGAAGTCTTTCTATATTTCTAGCTATTCTGTTTTCTTTTCTCAAGGTACATGTGAGGTGTAGAGATAGATGTTCTTGAGGACTGTAAAGCTAAAACATAAACAATCTTATTCATGCAGTCAGTACGATTGCAAGATGGGGGCATAAGGCAGAACCAAAAATATTCACCAGTATTGTGGTGATATTTATGACATTTGGTAACTGCTTCAAAGTTCTGATAGGGCAAAATTCCCCAGCATATGAATAATTAGCTGTCATTTTGCAAGCTGAAATTGTTGGCAAAGTAGTGTGAAATACTTTATTTTTTCAAGGAGCAAAACATTTTTTGATATATTACAATTTTAAAGTGATTTACAAGTCTGCTACTGCCTCAATCATTATAATAAAATAAATTCTAAATACCTATATATTTTGGTGTTCGATTTTGGTTTTTTTTATCATATAAAATCAGAGCCCCCCCGCCCCCTTCACTCACCAGGACATGGGTCCAGCTATGGCTGCCCTCCCCGCTGTTTTGTGGAGCTGAGCAGCCTTGATATGTCAGTGCCCCTCACTCCCAAGCCACAGCCCCCGCCATCCCAGCTCTGTCACTGCCCCTCACTTCTGATCCCCCAGCCCAACTGGTGCACCTCACTCCCAACTCCCAGCCCTCACCCCCGACCCCTGCTGGTTCCCCTCACTCCTGACCCACTGCCCTCTGTCCCCAGGCCCCCAGTATGTGGGGTGGGGGGTGTAGGGCAGGACAGGGGTGTGTGAGGCAGGGGAGGTGCTTGACCATAGACAATGTCATAGGTGATGCATTGGGAGGGTATGGGGGGCATGTGCCCACCCCCATATTTCTGCACCCACAGCAGGCATAGGGCTGGAGTCTATTCAGACCAGCATGGGCAGGAAATGTCTTTGTGGCCCAGTGGGCAGGACCCAGCATGGGAGGGCAGAGCAGGGTGGTACCAGCCATGCCACCAGCAATGCAAGAAATAATGGACGGTGGGGCAGCCACACTGCCTTTACCTCCTTCTGCCACCACCCACTTACACACCGGACTGTGACTCTAGCCCACCGCCATAGCTCAGCCACTGCCCCCACCACCACCTCTCCCCTCAGGCTGCCTGCACTGTCCCCAATCCACCTCCCCTCTGGGACAGAGCTGCGGCCTGAGAGGAGCAGTGGTGGTGGCCAGCCACAGTGGCAAGGTAGAGCCATGGGCTTGGCATGCAAGGGCTGGTGGTTGGAGGAAGTGTGGGCAGCACAGCCTCCTCCCCACCCCACTGGTCGGTTACTCCTTATGCTGCTGGCCACGTAGGGGTCCGGTGGCAATGGTAGCTATGAACCTTGCTGCTCTGCTCCACTGTCCTGAGCCGGGTCCTGCCTGCTGGGCCGCATACATGACTCCTGCCCATGACAGTCCAGCCAGGACACAGCCCTGTGCCTGCTGTGGATGCAGAAGTCTGGGGAGTACATGCCCCCATGCATCACCTATGCCCCACCCTGCCGCCCCACATATTGCCTGTGCCCCCAGTAGACTTATCTTCAGGGAACTGTGGAAGGTGCTTTCCACAACATTTTAAAGGAGAAAATCTGTGTTTTTCCATGGTAAACAGAAAACCTGTATCTCTGCAGATGACTCTTTTGATAGGTTTCAGTGTGAGGTGGTTGGTGACCACCAGAGCTATGTGGCTACAGGAGGGGTGTCTTTTTGTATTGTAACAGGTTACTGTGGGGTATTTGGATAGCTCTTTCAAATGTATGGTCTAATTCTCTATTGGACTGTCCTTACACAAAGGAAGATTTTAGGTTGGCTTGGTGGGCATTGTGAGTGTTCTTCTCAGAGCAGATGTGATGGTATATGGGGGTGGACTGTAGATTATAGCTTTTTTAGTGAACTTGGGATGACAGCTGGTCTTGTGGACATACGTATGGTAGTCCCAACCAAGGACTTTATACATGACATTGGTTTTATGGCACATTCATAGATTGTGAGGCTGGAAGGGACCTGAGAAAATCATCGGGTCCAGCACCCTGTACCAGGCAGGAAAGACAACTGGGGTCAGGTGACCCTGGCAAGGTGACCGTCCAGTCTCCTCTCGAATATTTCCAGGGTAGATGATTGCACCACTTCTGAGGGCAGCTTATTCCACAGTCTGGTCGCCCTAGCTGTGAAGAAGTTTTTCCTGATGTTGAGCCTGAAACAGTCTTCCAGGAGTTTGTGCCCGTTACTCTTGGTTTTCCCCGAGGGTGCCCTGGTGAACAGTTGTTCACTGAGCCCTGATATAGCAGTAAGTTCCTATCAACTCCTATCAACTTCTCTTTTTCAGGCTGAAGAGTCCCAGGTCCCTCAGCCTTTCCTCGTATGGCTTGCCGTGCAAGTCTCTGATCGTACAGCTGGCTCTTCTCTGGACTCTTTCGAGCTTTACCATGTCCTTGTTGAAGGACGTTATAACCTACCTGATTCCTGAATTATTCCCAGACATAAAAGGCGAGAATGAACCTTCTCCCTTTAGATATGCTTTGATCTCCCAGTAGTGAGCTTCTCTTCTTCTGCTAATTATGCCATCTACCCTGGGAATTTCTCTTCCCCCCTCTTCAAACTGTATTTTACTATGCTTGCCTGGCTTTTACTGCTCTGACCTGATGAAGAACATCTTCAGTTTGAAAGCTTGTTTAACTCTATTCCAACTATGCAACTGGTCCAATAAAAGATATCACCCTAAGAAATCCTTGCCTCCTGCTGATTTCTGTAGTAATATGGAAGCAATTCCTTGCCTAAAGATCTTTTTGATTTCTAAATAGGTTTTTCACTGAGATGGTACAGTCTGCTACCTGAACTAGTTTTCATGTATCTCCTTTCTGGGGCATTATTTTGTAGGAATCATATGTGAATAACACCAGATTATCTACAAACGCAAATGAAAAATTAAAATGAATAACTGCCATTATTGAAATGGCCTTTCAAGGCCTAGGGATGGTAAAAAATGTGCTAGAACTGCTGTCTTAAATACACATCCATATATTTACACAACTTACTCATTTCTATTCAAATCTCAGTTACACAAAACTCTGAATAATGTCCTCTTTTCCCATTAAATAGCCCTTTTGCAGCTCCTTACCTAAGCAGGATCTTTTGTCTGCAGATAGATAATGCCCAGGATGGCACTCACATTTTGCAAACCCTCTCTCATTTTGACAGATGTGTGGGCATCCTCCATTCCCAGCTGCACAGGGGTCTATCACTGAAATCATTTAAAATATTGACAATTTAAAGGTTACACTTTTGCCCCCAAATGGTTTTAACCCACCATCATTTCAAGTGACACTGATCACTGCTGTAGCAAAAAGAGAATAGATAGAAAAATATTTAGCCAAACTTTAGTCAGACCCATTCTTTGCGTGTAATTTTCCTACAACTAGGGTATTTAAAGCAGTGGAAAAATGTGATTATACATAGAATAAGTAGTCAGGAAGAGGAGAGACAAGAACAGTTTATTTGTTTTAACTGGTTTGCTTTCAAATTTGAAAGTGTTGGACTAAACCAATAATAATCAAAACTCCAATAACTTATGAATTCATGGCTGAAAGAATATTTTGTAGACATTAGGGAAAATGTGGGCTAAGGCAATCCTAAAAGCTCTTACTCCTTTTTAAATGTAAAGCATTAAAGGTATTGATGGAAACATGTATTCAAAACAAGTATATGACATTTCAAAGATAAGTAGCTCAAGAGCGCAAGTATTTAGGGCCACATTTCTAAAATGTCATACATTTTCGCACCTACAACAATGCCCTGAAGTCTTTGCATGCTTATTTTATGGTACATGATTCACAGGTTGCAGATTCTCATGATGGAAGAACAAAAACGTATTTAAGCAAACAGAGAAGGAATTTACACATGCAAATACAGGCCCCATTAGTAAAACCGGGCCCACCTGACTGCGAGATATGAGCCATGGCTAGCACACCAGCATCTGACATTTTGAACATGCTAAATTTCAAGTGTCAAATGTTTTGTATGCAAATACATAGGTGAATGATATTACGCATGCAGATTTGGAAGCCACTACTGAACATGATTTAGCAGAAACTTTCTAGGGTCTAAAGTTATTGCTTTTGTATTAAAACACAACATTCTTTCCTGTCTGGGTAAAAATATTTAATTTTCATGTTTATTGCTTAATTACTGTCTGATTTGAAAACCCAGACCAGTGATTTCACTCTTCTCCAACCTCTGCCTTTCTGCCAAATTACCACATGTGAATGCATGGCTCTTTCCGTTAGCTGTCAAGGAGTGTTGTATATGGCAGCATTGATTTAAGAGGGGTAATGAAGAGGCTGGGCTCCCATGCCTACTGCCACACACAGGGCAGCTTCAGGTTCCCACTGCAGATGCAACTGTAATTGCATAGTCGCAGCCCCACCCCTCTCCTCTAGGCTGCTATCCAGAGTGGCTGCTCCAACAGCCCTACCCTATTTATGCCACTGACTGCTTAACCACAGTGAGTGTGTCCACATGTGAATTAATGAGCCTTTTCTAATTCGCATTAAATTTAGTACCCCCAATGTGAGGTACTAAATTAACACGCATTAGGATGTGCTAATGTGCAGCAGTGAGTTTGCACACTTTTTAAGTGACACCTAATGCGCAGTAGACTAGTTTGCTGTGCATTAGCATAATGTCATGGGTTTTTATGTGACACTTTAATGAGCAGTAAAATAGGATACAGTACTGTGCATTAAAGTGCATGTGTAGACGCACCCGGTATGAAGGAAATGGCCCCAGTAGAGTAGCAATATTAGAATGGTTGAATTACCATTGCCAACAGGTGTTTGTTGGAAAGAATTTGAAATTTGAAGGAAAGTGATTGGGTAGATAAAAAGACATGAGAGTTGGAGGAGGAAAGAGGCAATTCTGGGGGAGAGGAAGGAATTCTTTCTTTCACTTCTTATTCCTCACTTACACATTCATGCTCTCACAAGCTACAGCAGTTCAACCAGTTTTTCAACCAGTCTAAACAAACTAGTCTTGGCAAACATTCAATCTAGTTTTATGGTGTTAGACTCCTGCCATGTCTGCACATCAGGTTTCCTGTTCCCTGATATATTTTCCAGCTTCTGGAAGGGGATGGAGAATAGAAGGGTCTGTGTATTTTTGTCTTTAATATGATTCTCTGTTTCCTCCAATTCCCACTTGATCTTCTTTTAATACAATAGTGATCTGACAGCTGTCTTTTATCTGCCAGCAGAGGGTGCTGTGCCAGAGGTTCAAGTTCATGCTAATTCCTTTGCATCTCAAGGGCGTAACTGCTCAACTCTACTTGGCAATTTAAGAATGAGACCTGATGACATGAAACTCTCCGCTAAGGGACAGCTTCAACTGTCTGCTGAATACAAGGATGCCAATGGGTCCCCAGGGGATACTGGCACTTAATCCTACACGTCACTTCCATGGCTGACAACTCAGTTCTGTCTACAAAGGTTTAGCTTCAAGCAAATGCTAGTTCCCTGGCTGCTAGGAAAAGCTGAACTTTTTTGCTGAATTTTATTTTAGGGTAAACTAAATGGAACCGCTGCCAAACAGCATCTGTTTTAACCTGTATATTATTAAGAATGTTAGGGTATGTAAAGCTTTAATTTAAGAATGATTACAACATACAGTAAATCTAGTAATATTCTCTAACATGACAACATCTAAGCAACAAATTGCAGGGAAGAATTTAGTAAAACAGCAATTTTAATAAAAAAAAAAATAGCTATGTTGCAAGTTCCTTAGGATAAAAGGTTGTAAGAGGCAGAAATCCTCAGGACATAAGGCAACCATTAGCTGCCTCAGGAAGAAGAAATGTCCCCTGTGATCAGGCAATTCCATTATGTGGTTTCTTGAACCTCTCTCTCAAGCATCTGGCCCGGGCTGCCGTCAAGATGCAAGACAGGCTTATGTTCTTGAATGTTATGCCAATTTTTGCCTGTCAGTGGTTTCCCAAGAGAAATGTGTTTAGCATGTGTGATAGCAATCAATGATTTTGATGTTTCCTGGGATAGCTCTTTTCTATATGGATCTTCCTCTCTCTCTGAAGCTCAATAAAATTATATATCCTCATCCTTTGTCATGGGGCTGTCTGGAAAAGACTAAGAAAGACTAAGAATTGTGGTCATCTAACCCAACCTCCTGCACAAATGCAGGTGTGCTGCTGTGTACAAACTATCCGAGACCATGGGTGTTTGGTATGAAATACTGGTAGGATGAGAGCACTGGGAACATTAATTGCTGCTCCTTGCTGCTAAATTTCTGGATGTTGCGGGAGCCCTACACCTTGGCATAATGGGGTGGGACAAAGGGAGAGATATGGATGAATCTAGGATTTTGAAAAGGCGGGGTTGTAGGTGGTATGGTGTATCATCACATATAACACAGCACATAACATATTTACCCAAATCCAAGGTAACCCTACATTTAAGATAAAACCCCCAATTATTAGATTCTATACATGGGAAATTAATAAACGTTACAATTTTCCATGTATAGAATCTAATTATTGGAGGGTTGTCTTAAATCCTCCCCCCCCAACTGCAGCAGGGAGGCAGGAAGTGGGGGGCATTAGGTGGTGTGGGGAGGTCAAATAGCTTGCCTCCTGCTGCTTGTCCTCCTCTCGTCTCATCTTGGAATCAAGTAAATACAGTACTTTTTTCCAATTAAAGAGATTCTAAAAGATTTACTAATATGGTAGGGGCCCAGTGCTACATAATTCATTTTAAGATCAAAGCAAAAATAAGTATAATGTTATAGAAATGCACACTAATTTGATAGATTATATATAAAGCTTAAAAAACACAATGAACTAGGCAAAAATAGTCAAAAGAAATTACTTTATTGCTTCTGTAGTCATTATAGTTAAATGGACATCTCTTGTTCAGGTTTGTAAAACAAAATCTAGCCTGCTTGAGCACCCTGACAGTGAATCCAACATTTCATTTTCAGTCATATTCACCTGAGTTAATGTTCCTGAGTTAGTATTACCACACATGGGTTAAAGTTTTTAGCTAGGGCAATAAACAGTCTGTAGGGCTGTGAAATAGAAGACTGATATTACCAGGAATGGCTAACAGATAACAAAATTGCAGAAGAAAGGACAAGTTGTTTAATGGAACCTCAAGACCATTAAAAAGGAGGTGGTGTCATTGACACCTGTGGAATGAAGAAAGATTAGTGGGGAGGAGGTAGATTGTGAGTCAAAGTCAAATGATTCCCTCACTGCTGCCTGAATAGGAATGTTGCTTCCCCTCCAGGGCAGCTGGCTTTACAATTTGAGTGCAGCAGGAATCAAACAGGGGTAGAATTGCATCCCTGCACCACCCTACTGATCCACTGCTGGGGGTACTACGGGCAACTGCCCTGTAGCAAAATTTGGGGAGTGGGGGTGGTGAAAAAAACAGCTGAAGTGGCAACTGGAAGTCACTGTTTTTGCTTTGCCCCAGGCACTCTGCCATATCCCTATACCTCTGACCCTGAAGGCCTGGTAAAATGGCCCTGCATGCTAGATTGGGAACACAGAATCATAGAAATTAAGGTCTGGAAGGGATCTCAAAAGATGAAGTCCTACCTCCCCTGCTCTGGGCGGTAATACTGCTGAGATCAAATGCTCCCACCAAGGTGTCTGTCCAGTCTCCACTTGAAGACTTCCAAGGTTAGGGACTGCACCACCTCCTTGGGAAGTCTATTCCAGATTCTGGTCTCCCTTAATGTAAAGATGTTTTTCCTTACATCCAACCTGAAACCATCATCTAATAGTTTATTGCCATTGCTCCTTGTCCTCCCCTGGGTGGTGTAGGTCCCTATCCCAGTGCCTTGTGGTGGGACAGTGCTCAATCCTGGAGGGTGCGGGTGGCATGGGACATCAGTGCCTGTTCTCAGTGCATGGGGCCAGATCCAGCCCATGGACCAGCTCTGTGCCATTCATCTGGCCCACAGGGCAAACAGGTGGAGCACCACTGTCTTAAACAATGCATAGAATCATAGATTTGGAAGGAACTGTGTACTCTCTCTGGGTAGAGAGACATAGGTAGCCATGTTAGTTTGAAGTCAAGCAGAAGGCAGGGCAATTTTGCACCATATAGACTAACTAAATTAGAGGTATGCACATACTTTCACAGCACCTGACAAAGTGAGCTTCAGATTTCATAGACAGTAGGGCTGGAAGGGATCTTGTGAAATCATCAGGTCCAGCCCCCTGCCCAAGGG